ATAAGAATGTTGAGCCAGAAACAAAGCTACACTTATATTGGCCAACCATCAGTAAAGGTTCGACCTTTATCACTATAAATTGCAATGACAGCATCTATAAGGTCTAGGGACAAAAGGTAGACCAAGTAGATGTCTGGAGACCTCCGCAATCCACCTCGTCTACTTTTGCAAATTGCTGCTTAGCCACTGTAAATATGGACATCAAACTAGTTGTGCATGCATCAATATATTGGGAACTTGCCTGAAATACTACGCAACTACACATCTCAGTTGCATGGATTCCCTATATACATGCTAGATGTACATAATTAATATTATTAATTTCCAACTAAAGCCTCAAGCTTTCTAACAGTTAATTATAGTGCTGTCTTTCATTCAAATACCCAGCACTGAAGTCTAATAGATTAATATTAAGGGCATTCATTAGCATCAGTAAAACGAAAGTTGGTTTCCAGACCTACGATTTATGTTTGTAGAAACAAGATACCAAACACCGGGCCCTTTAAACAACTTTCGTTTCCTGATTGCTAGAACCCACCTTTACTGTTCATTAATGTACAACAAGGACGAATTAACAAAGGAAATTACACCAGACATCAAGAGAGAAGGTGGGAGGATTAGTCTCCCTGCTTTGCCGTAGCCTAACCTCTCTCACTGTCTACGGACTGACGGTCAAGCTCAGGGAAGGCTTCAAACAGGGCCAACTCACCCTCACCTTTTCAACTCTCCACACTTCAATTGAGGCTTAAAGTTGATGGGAGAAACAAGTCTTTCCTTCTGATCATCCAAGTGATAATTCAAACAATGGATACAAAGACTGTGGCAACACTCTTATTTATGATCAGACGGAGAAAAGGAAGAAAAAGCAAGTTTGTAAAATGTATGAGCTCATACATCACACATTTTCAGACTTAGGAGTAATGCTATTGTCTTTGACCCATTGATTCGGACACACTCATGCAATGCCTGATGTTTCTCCTCTTTGACAGCAATGGTTACAGACAGTAAGTTTATTTCCCTGCATTTTAAGTGGAGATCCTTGAGAAATACCCTACCATGTTTTGTTAATAGAAAAAAGATCTGGTTACCAGTATTTCTAACTTTCTTTATAGCTACCTGAATCTTTTGTTTTGAGTTTTTTCTTCAATTACAAGTGCATTTCTGAATGACAACATAGTGTTTCACTGGAGGAACAGGAAAAAATAACGTTGGTCCAACTCTTGTACCCGCATGAGTGTATTGAGATACGTGCTTAAACGTTATTACATTTTCATGACCTGTAATGTTTATCTTGAAAACTACCACCAAAATAAAATCTCTTCAAAACGGCATAAGGTACTAGCGAACGTCGGCTCTTCACTTTTACTGCAAAACCAACACCCAATTTGAGCATACATAAAAGAAGCTGAACAAAGCATAACGAGCATTGAGAAGAAATCCCTGAGAAGTATTGCAAAAGTATCCTATAAGACAGATGCCCTTTTCTATGGTCTTCATATGTGTGAATGTACAGTGTAGAATTGTGGATTGTGTGTGTGTGTGTGATAAAAGTATGATATTTGGGACTGTTTGTTCTGTCATGTGTATTCATAAATGTCTAACAATGAATGGCTGCCTATAACGGTCTGTCCATGATAGCCTGATGTGTCATTTGTTCCACGGATGAGCACTGTTTCTAAAATTCCAATGCATCAATTATGCTGAGAATGAATAAAAAAGTGACATGATAGTGAATATCTACCTTAGATGATGGCAAAATGGTGAGAGAGAGGGAGGAAGAGGAGTAGATGTGAGAGAGGGAGGGGGACGGAGAGAGAGAGAGGGGGGGAGAGGGAGAGAGTGAAAGTGAGAGGGGGGAGGGGGAGGGGAAAGAGTTTTTTTCTTGACTAATTGACTGTCTACAATGTCTACTATAGTGACCCAATTTCTAGGGTTGATATTCACAATCCTGCCACAGAACAGCTATGAACAGTGACTGTTATTTCAAAAATGCATCTAAGTCCAACAATATCACCATTGCTTACTGTCTGTAACTGTGGCTGCCCTAATGATGTTTTAACTTTACCTGATGGCGAAGATGAGACTTCTTGTGAATCACTTACCAAAGAGGGGGACATGAGCCTAATGAGGTACAGGGCCGACATTTGGCTCCGTTTCGCCTGAAGGCGAGGAAGGAAAGAAGCAAAATGTCAGCGTGGGTGCCATATCTGACCTTAGGCTTATGTGCCAAGTACAGCTTATGGCCAGCTGTTATTTTCTATCCTCATCCAGACTAATATAGTCAATATTGAGGACTTCAAATGTTTACTTTGGTACCCAATAAGTTCAAGAAACTTCTGAAAATCAGCATCTTGGTTTGAATACCACCAACAACTTACCAATTAACAATGGAAAATTAGAAAAAAAATACCCATAGACATATATATATATATAACACGATTCAAAGAAATGCCCAAATTATGCAATATTGCCATATAAAGTAACAAGTCATTTTGCAAGAAGGCCAATGTGCTCAATCAACGGTGAAAATAAAGTACTATACCCACTCACTTGAAACAATATAAGGGCAAATTTTGTTCCAACAACCTAAACAGAAATACATTATTTGCTAACAATTCTAACTTAACAATATGTAACCATCTCATTCATCATAACACTTTTTTTATAAAATCTTTCATTATAAATAGATGTCAAACAAAGAATAACCCCTAGATTTCTCAGAATAAAAGAAAATATTACTAGCAACTTCCAAGTCAGCAACATTTTGGATATGCCTGCACGCCATAGACAACTTTATTGTATGAGATCAAACCTATAATGAACATGATAACACACTCCTGGCACATGAAACATGCAAGACCCAACTCAGAACCGGAACATTCACTGCATGGAGACAAACACGTTTCTTTCAGTGAAAAAAAAATTCAAAGTTGTAATACGGAAGACTCACTTCTCGACTTCTCCAACCTTGTAATAAACAGGCATACACTGATCTATGAAAAACTATGCCTGCTATATCTACAATTTTTTTGTTCTTGTAAATATTGCAGAGGCCATGCTGTTTTAATCTACAAACACAAATAAATTTTCATAAGGTCTTGTACCATTACTGTGACAAGATATGAAGACATGAACCTTGATGTAATTGTGATGTGTCTGGCGTATTTTTTTTTTTTTAATATCTTTAAACAATCGGACGAAAAAAGTGACTGGGGGACATAAATACTAATCATCATTAGTAAACATATAACACAGAAGTATAGAAATGGGCACTAATAACAATGATGGCAAAGAACAGGAATAATGAGGAATAAATAAGTATTGTTAGCAACTTCCAAGAACCAGGTGGGCTGAACATCAGATATGCCACACAAAAGCCTGTTGTTAAAATACCAGTATGTGGGATCCCTTGGTTTCATCCTTGCCAAGGGGTGTAAAAAAGTATATTTCAATAAATACAAAAATAAAAAATAATATGGCCGATGACAATATCTGGGTGCCAGGCTATCTAATATCACAATGTAGACCATAGTCTAGTTTGTTGCAAGTGGGAGTACAGTAAAGTCTAGGCTTAGGTGAGGCATCTGTAAAATGTGTATGAGAAATTTCTACAGATGCCTTTGATAAGATTACAGGCTCATCAAGCATCACCAGCTGCAGCCTTAACTTTTCAATACTCTCCCACTTCAATCACAGAAACACATGACAATGCCATTGTTGCAAGTATCCAGCAAACCACCTGCAAGGTGTTTTGGCTCTTTTACAACATTTCCACGAATCTTATATATTCCTAATTGAAACTATTCATGTATATCTGTGATATCCATAAACCTGTTTGCTGATGTAAGTAAAGGTACATTTGTTACTCCTCCCTAAAGGCATATACCTTTAAGATACATGTAATAAAAACAGAAAACACTAATGTAGATCAATTTACAAATTAAATCTTCAAAAACACATGCTGAAGAAACAACTTTTCATTTTAATAATGATTTTGCACTCTCAAATAAAACAAACTGATGTACACCAGTCCTGAACCAAAACTAAACTGAAGTTACAAATACTAAAAAAAACGAAGAAAAAAAGATAATGATAAAGTAAAAAAAAAATAAATAAATAAAAAATAAAAGAACCATGAGAAGCACAATGTGAAGAAAATGCCTTTGTACATGTAATGTGAAATGAGAAGCTTCAGACTTATATTTGCAAATATAATTTTTTCCTTAGCTTCCATTATACCTTTTCTGTGTCAAACTTTTGCTCTATCCAGTAACTAGCCATGAGGATTCCTGTATTATTCATTACAAAGCCAGAGCTAAAAAGACTTCAGACTTGGCTTGTATTCCTGTCTTGACAGAAAAATTTTGGTTGTAAAAACAAGATCTTTGTCTTACTATTCAAGGACTGAGCAAGGGAACTAGAAAACCACATTCACAACTACTTTTTTGATCAATAGAGATGTCTCTGCATCTTCAAAAGGCAGATAGGAAATGTGTTATTTACAGCTCAGGTGGCGCACACAAGAAGTAAAACCCGCACTGGATACAAGTATCAAGTAAACACAGACAACTTAAGCATTATCATCTCCATAGCTAGTGACATCAGGTGGGATGGGATGGGGTAGTTCAAAACCTCATATACAAGCTTAAGTCAATAAAGACACGAAAAGTGAGTTAACCACATCTAGACAAAACTATGGCAATGGAATCTATGGCGGTGTAACAGCTGAGGTCACGTCCTGATTTATAACACCATACTGTATATATGTATATATATGTATATATATCAATAGAACAGGGATAAAATTATCTGCTTGTATTAAAAGAAGTAGCGATTGTTACATGACGAGGTAGATTCAGCCTTTCTCTGATGATACGTTACCCTCCTCATTATATTTTTTCCATACTATTTTTTTTTTCTTCTTTTTCTATCCTGTTGGTTGCCATATGGTGAGAGAATCCTTGTGGCTCAACAATACTATTACATGGACTGATGTCGTCAAATATGCCACTCAAAAATTACGGAGCTTCCATGATGATTGACCATATCCCCTTGGGAATGTGGTTCCTGAGTGTCACATCAAGAGGGGTTCATCTGGGGCTCAAAGGATCAACTAATACATGCAATAAGATGTCAAGACCATTCTAAACCACAAGCAAGAGCATGGCTCGGGTACCCTGCAGAGCTTTCAATAATCAAGAAATGGATTTTCAACATGCTCTGACACTATTTTCATCATAATCTGATTAATGCTGATCATTTTTATTTATGTTTGTTTTTGTTTTTTATTTTTCCTTTTTTAAAATCAACCCCAAGACATTATTGTCGCTCCCCTTAAGGTAGTTTAGACAAACAGTGCTAAAACAATTTATTAGTTGAGTTCCTCACACCTTGGGAAGTCTCCTTCCTTGATTGATCTGGAACACTCACCTTTTCCAACAATGGAAGCACATCATCAAACACTGCTTTTGTGTCACAGTTCTGCTGCAACACAGTCAACCCTAAATCACAGACAACAGACCTTGCATTTTCTTACTTCCTGCCAAATGACAAGACTTTCAACATAAAGGCTTGACCACCTTGGCTAAATTGAGTCACCTTGGGCTATAGGCAGTTGTGCAAAGGTATACTCATCACTTACACCTAAATCCATCTAAACAATTCACAGTGGCAAATCCTCCCTACACATTAACCTAACATCCTTCTAATGATGGGCCATCATTAAGCCACTACAGTCTCTGAGTTGAGCTCACAAAGGGTGGTGGGATCAGTACCATCAGTATCTCCTCCATCCACATCCATTGCTTGTGTAGCAGATGCTGCTGCTGTACTGGTTGTGGTGACAACAGCAGGCACTGTGGTGTCTGTGGCCCATGATGCAGCAGTGTGTGGGTATGGGCGTGCCCGGGCATCACGCGAGCTTTGCGCCGGGCCCGCCGCTGCTCCATGATTAGGCGTAGCTGCTCCACTTTGTTCGCATTGCTTGGTTCTCATCACCTGAATCTGTAGTATTTCAAAAGATGTTAGCAGTGGTCAGTATAATCATGCTTAATAGGCTGAATAGTTATCAGTAATCTTTAAAGGAGCAAAGAGATCCTGTTTTTCAATATAACTATACTATATGATACATTATTCACTAACCCTGGTCACCAGCTTGTGGTTCATCAACAGCTTTCCTCCTGTTTGCCTCCATCATTTCCTCCTGAGATTGTGGGATTTCTGTTGAAGAGGTATTCAATGGCTTTCCCTTCTCCTTGGGTGCACTGCTCCCAGAACTCTTGGTCCTGGATGGCGTTGTTGAACTAAGGGTAATGCTGGTGTTGTGGCGACGATACTGCGGTGTGGCACACAAGAGGTCATTGAGTATGTGGATTATTGTTGAGATATCCGTTTTGGCCGTCCCTGCCTGTCCTGCAGTGCTGGGTTGAGGGTACCTGAAACAAAAATTTGCTTATCAAGACCTCAGCCATAGAGAGAATGTCTTAACCTAAACACCTAACCTTAACAATACAAAACATACCTCCTATGGGCGTAAACTTTAAAAGTTATGCATATAATTCCTAAGGCAACAACAAGTGAACCTTTCCAATTCCTTTTTTTCACAACCAGTGTAGGTTCTCTAAAATAAAGTCAGTAAGGCTTCACTAAATATGTCTTAACTGTTCACTTTCCATGCCTTCCACTTCTCTACATCCTGGCACTGTCATCATTAAACACTTCAGCACATACACTTGCAACACTCCTGCTCCATACCTGAGAAAGTGCCTGAGTACACTCCTTTCCCGTGGTGGTGCATACTCTCAATGATAGCTCCCTGTTTCTTGAAATTACTGTTATTGTTTCCACTACTACTGCTGGTACCATTGCTGTTGCTGGAGCCATTGCTACTGCTACTGCTGCTGCTGTTGTTGCTGCTGTTGCTGCTGCTGCTGCTGCTGCTGCTGCTACTGCTGCAGCTGCTGCTGTTGCTGCTGCTACTGCTGCCACTGCTGGTGTAGCTGCTGTTACTACTAGTGCTGCTGGAGCCACTGCTTCCATTGCTGTTACAACTACTAGGGGTACTGCTAGGGCCAATATTGTTGGTGCCATCACTGGCTCCTTTTGTGCCTAAATATGTTGCAGCAATTTCTGGAGGGGATCGACTCTCCTGTGAAAAAATTAAACCATGAACAAATTTATACATATGCAATTCAAGTTCATACACGAATTAAAATTCATAATTAATGACAGCACAAATTTTGGCAATAAATACCTCTTTCAGCTCTGGCTTGGACGTGAGGACCTCAGAAGAGAGCTGCTTGAGGGTCTGAGTAAGATTACGAGAAGCCTCTGCTAGGGCCTTGGTGTCCAGAGTAGCCCTGAGATCCATCTCCTCGCCCTATGAGGGCACCCTCTCACAGGCAAGTCACTGTCATAGCCAAGGCCTGAAGGAGAGCTGGCACTGGATCCACCTGAGGATGATGACGAGGAAGAGGCTGGGCTGTTTGGGGTTGAGGGGGAGCCTGGAATAGGTCGGTGATGGTGGTGATGGTGGTGGTGATGGTGGTGGTGGTGGTGGTGGTGATGGTGAGGGGGCGTGGCTAAGTACGGAGAAGTGGGTGGGGGTGGGGACGAGGGAGATGAGTAACCGCGCACTGTGGTGGTGGAGGAGGAGATTATTGTGGTGGTGGTGGTGGTGGTGAAGCAAAAGGACGCTGATGAGGAGGTTGGGGAAGAGGATGTGGAAGATGTAGAAGACGGGGAAGATGGGGAGGCAGCCCTAGCAGATGACGAAGATGTCGTGGAAGAGATTTGACTAGGGTTGATAGTGACAGAGGCTGGGGGTGTGGATTGGCCAGACACAGGGGATGTGTGCACAGGGGAGTAGCCTGCACACGTGACCGGACTATGAGGGGTATAGGGAGGGGTCAGAGGATGGCTGTGTGCAGAGGTACGAGCAGAACCTCCTTGTTCATGGCTGTGGCTGTGGCTGTGCGTGGAGTGTGTGTGAGTGTGAGAATGGCTATGGCCATGGGAGTGTGCATGGCTGTGTGAGTGAGAATGGTTGGTCTGGAGGCGTGACTTTCTGGACCCGCCTGGGGACACCGTGACAGCTGCAGTTGGATCAGCATCATGTGGTCACCAAGGCGCATGGCAAGTTGAGGGGGGCCTTGCCCGTCAAGAAGTCATTCCCTGCAAAAAGTAACACTCATAAATACATGACGTTGGGGCATGATTACAGGAGGAGGCCTATGTAAAATCATCAAAAGTCAAATATACGCAAGTAATGTTCACTCTAAGGTATCAAAAATTATCCTCAATATCAAAATCATCAGGCTATAATATTCCTAAAATAAACCTACAATAATGGTTATCAATAGTAAAAAATAGAATATGCAATCATCACATATCAACAAACACTAACAACCGGTAATCAAAATGACATCTCTCCAATTGAACAACACAAATAAAGTTCAAGTAATCCACAAATACTGGTAGAGAAACGTGGAAGTGATAAACAGTCCAACAAAGTTGAATATCAACGACTTACTTGTCCATCATTAAGACTCTCGAGGGCTTGCATGACGCTCTGCTCTGGTCGCTGGGTCTGTCGGGAAGAAAAGGCTCATGAACAAGATGGGTCAGGAATCAGAGAATATCTACGAGACAATCAACTAAAATCATAGGGGTGATAGAATGTTATTGCTATTTCAAATGATGAAATAAATATTAACAAAAATAACAAATATTCACAACAATCTTTATCGATATTCCAAGATCTATAATAATTGTACCAACAATGAAATATCGTAATCAAAATTTCAATTACAGCTAGTGAGGATAATGACTTTACCAACAAAGCACTAGAAAACATTTCGGCTTTCTCATCACTACTGCTCTGAAGGAGTCACAGTCCACTCCCTTTCTGCCTTTTGCCTGCATTTTGGCGGAGAACAGTAGCACAAAAGCGCCGAACTCTTCCTTATAACCACACCCTACATATAAGACCGACACCCCCTTGATCAGAAGCGATGCGAAGAAAAAGAGAAAAACAAAGCACTGCCCGCACCATTATGCAACTGAAATGTCGTCAAACCGAAACCACGCCCCGTCACTGCTCTGAGAACTCACACGAAAGGAAACAAAAATACAAGCCATAAGCAGACTGGTAAACAGACCGAAAAGCAAAGACAGAGTTGAGTGTAATAATCTCATCTCCGTCTCTGCTATATCTTTCCCCTAGATTCACCTTGTCCCTGTTTTTTATGAGGAAAAAGTGCACAAAACAAACCCAGTTGTGCGCGTTCCCTCTCGTCCCCTGATCCGTTAGCGAGGGTGAAGGGAAAGAAAGGGTGAGCGCGCACGGAAGAGGGAAAAGGGCGAAGAGCGTAAAACAGAAAAGGACTTTCAACATCTGGGGAGGGGAGAGGAGGGAAGGAACGAGGAAGATAAAGGAGTAAGGAAAGGAGCGAAGAAGGGAAAGGAAGAGTGTAAGGGGGAAAAGGTTAAACAATAACAGGAACATATAAATTTGCATGTACAGCAAAATGATAAAGAAACAGAGAGAGAGAGAAAAAGAACAATGGAAGACAGAAAGAGACAGCCGAAAGGGGCAGGCATCGTCAGTTGATAGGGAAAGGGAAGGGCGAAGGGGAGACGACGCGCCAACGAGGGGAAAAGATATGGAAGGGGAAAAGAGGGTTAGAGAAGCGGGGATGGAATGATGTATGGAAAATTGCACCAAAAATCCAGGCCCGAAGTTAACAAGGGACTGAGACAAAGACGAGAGGAAGCGAGGGGAGACGCCATGGCGACGAACGAGAGGAGAGGAAAAAGGGGAAACTGTGCAATAGCGAAATATTAAGATATAGCTATGGAGACGCGAGAGAATGAGAGGAAAACAGCGAAAGACAGACAAAGAGAACTGAAAGTGATACAGAAAAGGGGAGATAAACGGAGAGGAGGAAGAGGAAGACGAAGAAAAAGAGAAGGGAGAATGGAAAAGGAAAATAACGAGAAAGAAAGAGAGACAGATATAGAGATAGAGCGAGTAACTGAGTAAGAGATAGAGATAGAGGTAGAGATAGATAGAGAGAGGGAGGGAGGGAGAGGGAGAGAGGGAGAGAAGGAGAGAGAGAGAGAAGGAGAGAGAGAGAGAAGGAGAGAGAGAGAGAGAGAGAGAGAGAGAGAGAGAGAGAGAGAGAGAGAGAGAGAGAGAGAGAGAGAAGAGAGAGAGAGAGAGAGAGAGAGAGAGAGAGAGAATTAGAGAGAGAGAATGAGAGAGTGAGAGAGAGAGAGAGAGAGAGAGGAGAGAGAGAGAGAGAGAGAGAGAGAGAGAGAGAGAGAGAGAGAAAATGAGAGAATATGAGAGAGAGAATGAGAGAATATGGAGAGAGAATGAGAGAATATGAGAGAGAGAGAGAGAGAGAGAGAGAGAGAGAGAGAGAGAGAGAGAGAGAGAGAGAATGAGAGAGAGAGAGAGAGAGAGAGAGAGAGAGAGAGAGAAGGAGAGAGAGAGAGAGAGAGAGAGAGAGAGAGAGAGAGAGAGAGAGAGAGAGAGAGAGAGAGAGAGGGAGAGAAGGAGAGAGAGAGAGAATGAGAGAGAGAGAAGGAGAGAGAGAGAGAATGAGAAGAGAGAGAATGAGAGAGAGAGAGAGAATGAGAGAGAGAGAGAAGAGAGAGAGAGAGAGAGAGAGAGAGAGAGAGAGAGAGAGAGAGAAGAGAGGAGAGAGAGAGAGAAGAGAGAGAGAGAGAGAAGAATAGAGAGAGAAATAGAGAGAGAAAAGAGAGAAAAGAGAGAGAAAGAAAGAGAGAAAAAGAGAGAAGAGAGAGAGAGAGAGAGAGAGAGAGAGAGAGAGAGAGAGAGAGAGAGAGAGAGAAGAGAGAGAGAGAGAGAGAGAGAGAGAGAGAGAGAGAGAGAGAGAGAAGAGAGAGCGCATCTCAACACCTCATCTCCACCGTATTTATTTGCTTCTCCATCCATCTGTCTTTTTTGCTTTTTCCTGTTTGCTTTGTCTCCTCTCTTTGTTTTTCCCCATTTCCATTTCATTAATCTCTTCCTTGCTTCCACTCCCCTTCTTCCTCTATATTCTTCCTCCATCTATTTATGCTCCTTCCTTCGTCTTTTTACTTTCCCTTTTTTTTCGACTAGCCATTCCTTCTTCACCGATATGTCTTTACTATCTACTTACATATTCTCTCTTTTTCCTTCATTACGTCCCAACATTCTAGGGATCTTCCGTTGTTTTCACTCATTTACATTTTTTCTTTTAGCTCATAGCTTCCCTTTACTGTTAGTCCACAACTTCTCTTTCCTTCGTCTGCCCTTGTACTTA